TGCTTCACTGTTGTTGGATATTTTCCCTCTAGGTCTTAAAATAGTCCAAATGATTATCCGATACTCCTCTTCAGTTTTCAGAGTAGCTTATGAGTTTGATTCAGAGATTGGAAAAAGATACATTTGCTACTGTCAGGGTGATTTGTTACCTACAAATGTATTTCCCCACAGAGCATTTAAGTATCTGGGGGATGAAAGACAAACCAGTCGAGAATACTTCTGGGAGGGTCTTTCTTCTTCATATTAGAATCTCATTTGAGTCTCATCTGTGGAAGCTCTGTCAATGAAGTTCCTGCTTGGTCAGTGATCCATTTCTTCCCTTCAGTTATTTTGACAGTGAAAATGATAGACAGGGGAAGTGCTTGAAATGAAATGATTGTTTCATAAACACACTGTGGCTCAAAGCCTGATCTCATCTTTTGAAATATAGGGTCATCCCATTCAATGAGGAAAAGCAGCCTACTGCTTTGTTAAAATAAGACAGTCCCGGGCTTCCCTGGTGGCACAGTGGTTTAGAGTCCACCTGCCGATGCAGGGGATACGGTTCGTGCACCGGTCCGGGAGGATCCCACATGCCACGGAGCGGCTGGGCCCGTGAGCCATGGCCGCTGAGCCTGTGCGTCCGGAGCCTGTGCTCCGCAACGGGAGAGGCCACAACAGTGAGAGGCCCGCGTACCACACACAAAAAAATTTTTTTAAAAATAAGACAGTCCCGACTAATCATTGCTGCCTGTCCTGGCAAGTCCTCGGAATGCCCATAGCCCTGGTTCTCCTCTAAGGGGTTCCTCCGATCTGGACTGCCCGTTGTCTCTGTGTGGTCCTGCTGTTGCTCTGGCAGTGACAGACGGGGACCCAGGGCGAGCCTACCATGGACAGCCCTTGGCGTACAGAGGGTCAAGCACACCCAACAGGCTGCCTCAGATGTAGGGAGAAAGCGCAACAGTTGGAAACAGGCAAGAATAAAAAGGGAAATACGGAAAATTATCTGAGACGGAGCAATGGCAGAACACTACAGACAGAATTCACAGGGAATGAAGAGGCGCCATATACCCAGAGCTGCGTGCATCCTGCGATCTCCAGCAATTCCCAAACCGTGTTCGTCTCTTGGAATCCCGGCTGTCCAATCGGTATCTTGATTTGTTATCTCCCACTGATCTTCGCAATAAACCCCCCTACTTCATGCAACCGATGTCTCTTCCTTATGGCTTAAACTGCTTGACACAGCATTATACACTAAAATGTCACCTTTTAAAGCATGGATATATTTAGGATCACATAATATGGGTTCATGTTTTTGTTATGATTTAAAAATAGTATATAGAGAGTCTTAGTACATAAGATTAAAGTGCACACAGGAGGTATTTTTTAGAATGTATCATTCCTTTTTAACCAAGTGCAAATAATATACATTTCATTATGGGGGCAGTTTTGGGTTTTGAGTTAGAATTCATGTAATAAAGTTGAGCTAAAAATAACCTCAAGTGAGATTACTACAAGCAACTATATGCCAATAAAATGGACAAACTAGAAGAAATGGCCAAATTCTTAGAAATGCACAACCTTCTGAGACTGAACCAGGAAGAAATAGAAAATACGAACAGACCAATCACAAGCACTGAAATTGAAACTGTGATTTAAAGTCTCCCAACAAACAAAAGCCCAGGACCAGATGGCTTCACAGGCGAATTCCATCAAACATTTAGAGAAGAGCTAACACCTATCCTTCTCAAACTCTTCCAAAATATAGCAGAGCGAGGAACACTCCCAAACTCATTCTATGAGGCCACCATCATCCTGATACCAAAACCAGACAAAGATGTCACAAAGAAAGAAAACTACAAGCCAATATCTCTGATGAACATAGATGCAAAAATCCTCAACAAAATACTAGCAAACAGAATCCAACAGCACATTAAAAGGATTATACACCATGACCAAGTGGGGTTTATTCCAGGAATGCAAGGATTCTTCAATATATGCAAAACAATCAATGTGATACACCATATTAACAACCTGAAGAATAAAAACCATATGATCATCTCAACAGATGCAGAAAAAGCTTTTGACAACATTCAACACCCATTTATGATAAAAGCTCTCCAGAGAGTAGGCATAGAGGGAACTTACCGCAACAGAATAAAGGCCATATATGACAAACACGGCCAACATCGTCCGCAATGGTGAAAAACTGAAACCATTTCCACTAAGATCAGGAACAAGACAAGGTTGCCCACTCTCACCACTCTTATTCAACATAGTTTTGGAAGTTTTAGCTACAGCAATCAGAGAAGAAAAAGAAATAAAAGGAATCCAAATCAGAAAAGAAGAAGTAAAGCTGTCACTGTTTGCAGATGACATGACACTATACTATAGAGAATCCTAAAGATGCTACCAGAAAACTACTAGAGTTAATCAATGAATTTGGGAAAGTAGCAGGATACAAAGTTAATGCACAGAAATCTCTTGCGTTCCTATACACTAATGATGAAGAATCTGCAAGTGAAATTAATAAAACACTCCCATTTACCATTGCAACAAAAAGAATAAAATATCTAGGAATAAACCTACCTAAGGAGACAAAAGACCTGTATGCAGAAAACTATAAGACACCGATGAAAGAAATTAAAGATGATACAAACAAATGGAGAGATATACCATGTTCTTGGATTGGAAGAATCAACATTGTGAAAATGACTCTACTACCCAAAGCAATCTACAGATTCAATGCAATCCCTATCAAACTACCACTGTCATTTTTCACAGAACTAGAACAAAAAATTTCACAATTTGTATGGAAACACAAAAGACCCCGAATAGGCAAAGCAATGTTGAGAAAGAAAAATGGAGCTGGAGGAATCAGGCTCCCTGACTTCAGACTATACTACAAAGCTACAGTAATCAAGACAGTATGGTACCAGCACAAAAACAGAAAGAGAGATCAATGGAACAGGATAGAAAGCCCAGAGATAAACCCACACACATGTGGTCACCTTATCTTTGATAAAGGAGGCAAGAATATACAGTGGAGAAAAGAGAGCCTCTTGAATAAGTGGTGCTAGGAAAACTGGACAGCTACATGTAAAAGAATGAAATTAGAACACTCCCCAACAGCATACACAAAAATAAACTCAAAATGGATTAAAGACCTAAATGTAAGGCCAGAGACTATCAAACTCTTAGAGGAAAACACAGGTAGAACACTCTATGATGTAAATCACAGCAAGATCCTTTTTGACCCACCGCCTAGAGAAATAGAAATAAAAACAAAAATAAACAAATGGGACCTAATGAAACTCAAAAGCTTTTGCGCAGCAAAGGAAACCATAAACAAGACGAAAAGACAACCCTCAGAATGGGAGAAAATATTTGCAAATGAAGCAACTGACAAAGGATTAACCTCCAAAATTTACAAGCAGCTCATGAAGCTCAATATCAAAAAAACAAACAACCCAATCCAAAAATGGGCAGAAGACCTAAATAGACCTAAATTTCTCCAAAGAAGATACACAGATTGCCAACAAACACATGAAAGCATGCTCAACATCATTAATCATTAGTGAAATGCAAATCAAAACTACAATGAGGTACCACCACACACTGGTCAGAATGGCCATCATTAAAAAATCTAGAAACAATAAATGCTGGAGAGGGTGCGGAGAAAAGGAAACACTCTTGTACTGTTGGTGGGAATGTAAATTGATACAGCCACTATGGAGAACAGTATGGAGGTTCCTCAAAAAAACTAAAAATAGAACTATCATACGACCCAGCAATCCCACTACTGTGCATATACCCTGAGAAAACCATAATTCAAAAAGAGTCATGTACCACAATGTTCATTGCAGCTCTATTTACAATAGCCAGGACATGGAAGCAACCTAAGTGTCCAACGACAGATGAATGGATAAAGAAGATGTGGCACATATATACAATGGAATATTACTCAGCCATGAAAAGAAACGAAATTGAGTTATTTGTAGTGAGGTGAATGGACCTAGAGTCTGTTATACAGAGTGAAGTAAGTCAGAAAGAGAAAAACAAATACCGTATGCTAACACATATATATGGAATCTAAAAAACAAAACAAAAAAAATTGTCATGAAGACCATTACTGTCAGCTTTTATACAGTATATGCTTTAAAATGGACGTAGGGTAACTACAGTTACCTCATTCAGTTCTTACACCCCTGTGAGACTGACATTTTCCCCCTACTCCACAGATGAGCTTAGCAAGCTTCGGTAACTTGCCTCAGGTTACCTAGTAAATAAGTCACCGAACGGGGACTGGAACCAGGTGTGCCTGTGACTGCCAAAGCCCTGTGTAAGTGTGAACCCCAGAGCTACACAGTGAAACAAAGAGTCTTGTGATTAGTTCTTAATAAACTGTTCTGATTATACCAGTAAGACCACCTCACTGCAGAAAAAAACAGAAGCCAAAAGAACAGCTGTTAATGTCTTTAGGCAAAACTTAGTAAGTTAAGTCCCCCACATACGAACGAGTTCCATTCTGACAGTGCGTCCGTAAGTCCAATTTGGTCATAAGTCCAACAACGTACCACCAGAACAACACTTTTTTAAGAAGAACTTTTAAAAATCACCTGAAAGGGCTTCCCTGGTGGCGCAGTGGTTGAGAGTCCGCCTGCCGATGCAGGGGACACGGGTTTGTGCCCTGGTCCGGGAAGATCCCACATGCTGCGGAGCGGCTGGGCCCGTGAGCCATAGCCGCTGAGCCTGCGCGTCTGGAGCCTGTGCTCGGCAACGGGAGAGGCCACAGTAGTGAGAGGCCCGCGTACCGTAAAAAAAAAAAAAAATCACCTGAAAATTAAAAAATTTCATTAAATATGTAGTTTCAGCATACCTCTAAATAAGAATTACAATTCATGTTACTAGCAAAAATATGGATGATACATAAAGAGTTAACCGTGCATTTCTCCCCAAAATATTAGGTCATGGTACCATTATGAAGTCTTCAAAAGGAAAATTTTCTCACATACTGAATTCTATATTCCATATTTTTCTATTAGCTCTTTTGCTTTAGAAATACAGGCACTCATGGCATCTGCCTTTGATAATCCTAGAAAGATACAAACAGATTGACTCACTGACCGATGTTATTGGGAAATTAAGAAGGTTTGTTTCACTTATTTAAAAATTAACCACCTTGTTGAGGTTCCAAGCTTCCCACTTAGCCTTGCCTTTTAGATTTAACAGTCCTGGACACTCTGCCAAAAGGAGGACAGATATATTTTCAGGGTTACTTTTTACTCTATGCTTCTAGAAATACTGTTCAGTGAAACGTATTGTTATTTTTTTAATGACAACCCAGTACCAGTATCTACATCTCCAATTACAGATTGTTTGTAGAGCCCATAGGGTTCTTTTAGTTCCTCACCATCTGGCCTGGTTTTCAGCTTCCTCATGTCTTTGGCCGCCTTTTCAAAATCAGCCTAAAGCAAAAAGGCACAAAGTGTGCATTTGCTAACTTTCGGCAGGTCCATTTGCTTTGGGGAAACGTAAAGAGGAGGAGGGAGCTTTCAAACAGAAATGAACTATTACTGCTCTGGTTCCACCAGAATTATCCTAACCTATTTTAATTCGTGGACACTTCCCCTGGTCCTTACCTGCTACATAGACAATGTACCCACGTATTAGATACGGAGAAATAAATAAAATTCTTAACACATTACTGACCACAGACGTATTAACACATCTTTTGTTACCCGAATGTTATTGACCAGAGACATTTCAATATTCATTTACATAACAAATCGCTGGCCACAGGCGTTAGTTTCTGCAAAAATCTCCTGGTCAGCAATGAGTTAATATTTAAAATGTTTAATTTATCTATGTTTAAAAACTGAAGAAGACATGAATAAATGGAAAGATATTCCATGTGCATGGATAGGAAGAAATAATAGTAGTAAAATGTTCATCCTACCCAAAGTCATCTATCAATACAAATTCAACTCAATCCCTATCAAAATTCCAATGGCATTTTTCACAGAAATAGAAAAAGCAATCCTAAAATGTGTATGGAGTCATAAAAGCCAAAGCAATCTTGAGAAAGAAGAACAAAGTTGGAGGCATCATAATTCCTGATTTCAAACAATATTACAAGCTATAGTAAGCAAAACAGTATGGTATTGGCATTAAAAACAGACACATAGATCAATGAAACAGAATCAAGAGCCCAGAAATAAACCCTTTGTAATTTATGACAAAGGAGCCAAGAATATACAATGGGGAAAGGACAGTGTCTTCAATTAACGGTGCTGAGAAAACTGAAGAGAACATGCAAAAAAAATGAAACTGGACCCACCCCAACTTACACCATATACAAAAAACAACTCAAAACGAATTAAAAATTTGAATGTAAGGCTTAAAACTGTAAAACAACTAGAAAAAGACAGAGAATAAGCTCCTTGACATCAATCTTAATGCTTTATTTTGGATTTGACACCAAGAGTAAAACTAGCTAAAGCAAAAATAAACAAAAGGGACTACATCGAACAAAAAAAGCTTCTGCACAGCAAAGGAAACCATAAACAAAATGAAAAGGCTGAGTGGGACAAAATATTTGCAAATCATATGTCTAAGGGGCCTTTGAATATATATATTCAAAATATATAAAGAACTCATATGACTCAAAAGCAAAAAAAAAAAGCAAAAGAAAACAATTTGATTTAAAAATAGCCAGGAGATTTTTCCACAGAAGACATACAGGTGGCCACATCATTAACCAACAGGGAAATGTAAAGCAAAACAACAGTGAGAGGGCTTCCCTGGTGGCGCAGTGGTTGGGAGTCCGCCTGCCGTTGCGGGGGACGCGCGTTCGTGCCCCGGTCCGGGGGGATCCCGCGTGCCGCGGAGCGGGTGGGCCCGTGGGCCATGGCCGCTGGGCCTGCGCGTCCGGGGCCTGTGCTCCGCGGCGGGAGAGGCCACAGCAGTGAGAGGCCCGCGTAACGCAAAAAAAAAAAAAAACAACAGTGAGATATCACGTCATACCTGTCAGAATGGCTATCATCTAAGAGACAAGAAATAACAAACGTTGAGGAGGGTGTGGAGAAAAGGAAACCCTATACGCTGTTGGTGGGACTGTAAATTGGTGCAGGCACTGTGGAAAACAGTATGAAGTTTCCTCAAAAAATTTAAAAAATAACTACCATACGATCCAGCAATCCCACTTCTGGGTATTTATCTAAAGGAAATGAAATCACTATCTCAAAGGGATATCTGCACCCACTGTGTACACTGCAGCTGTATTTACAATAGCCAAGACGTGGAAGCAACCTAAGTATCCATTGATGGATGAATGGATAAAGAATGTGTTATATATATATATACATATATACATATATACATATATATATATATACATATGTATATATATAATATTCCATTATATAGATATAACAGAATATTAATCAACCATGAAAAAGAAGGAGATATCGGGCTTCCCTGATGGTGCAGTGGTTGGGAGTCCACCTGCCGATGCAGGGGACGTGGATTAGTGCCCCGGCCCGGGAAGATCCCACATGCCGCGGAGCGGCTGGGCCCATGAGCCATGGCCACTGAGCCTGTGCTCCGCAACGGGAGAGGCCCCAACAGTGAGAGGCCCATGTACCACAAAAAAAAAAAAAAAAAAGAAGGAGCTATCGACATTTGCAACAATATGGATGGACTTGGAGGACATTATGCTAAGTGAAATAAGTCAGACGCAGAAAGATAAATACTGTATGATCTCACTTATATGTGGAATCTAAAAATAAAAAGAAATTAATAGAAACAGAGAGCAAATCGGTAGTTGCCAGAGGTGGGGGGAAGAATGGTTGAAGATGGTGAAAAGGTAAAAGAAAAACATGCAAAAAAATTATATGAGAAATTCCAACGCAAAGTTTTTCTCATAAGTTAGAAGTATATAAATACAAGTTTCTATTAATTTTTTTAGATGGCATTACCTTCACTTTCTCGATCACCCTCATGAGCACGTCCTCCTCTTCTTCCAAAATCTACACTTTGCTGTATGCAATAGCTTTGCTGCCAATGAATATCTTTGTCCAGGGCATTCATCTCCCAGTGCCTCTCTGCCCACATGCTTCAACAGCAGTTTTATTTATACCTATTGAGTGGGCTAGCTAGTTTCTGAGGGCAGTACTTCTGATTGCGCTGAGTTGCCTGTATAGATTCCTTTAAAAATTGAGACCAAAACTTCTAAGACTTATTTCAATTGATTTCCAGAAAAGAGAAGTTGTTCAGTCAACTTAGCTGATTAGTAAAAAGAAACTGACTTCCCGGAAATTCTGTATATAAATATACTGAATAATAAACCTGTCCTCCCCATTCATGACTTACCTCTGAAAACCCTGACCTGCCTAGTTCCCAAGGCGCTAGGATTGGCCCAGCGTTCTCAGCCCGGGGCTCGGCCAGCAGTCATCCCCTTCCCCTGTACTGTTCCACATAGGGATAAGGTGCTCCTAGCAGATTTATTCCTTTCTCCTTTTAACCTCTTAGTTTATATACAAAGGCTTTGCTGATTACTTTGAACAATGGAATTGTTCCATTCTTTTTTTTCTCCATTTTTTCCCATTCTTTTCTTTTTTCCATTCTTGTGTTATTTGTTTGAAATCAGGAGTAAGCGGGAATTGTCAGCAGCCTGGGTATGAAACAAGAGAGGTTCAAAGAAGCATTCTACCCCTACCCACTACTTTCCTTCTCTGAAGCCAGAGCCCCCTTTTGATCCAAAGACCTGGTAGAGAAAGTGGAGAGACCACTGTGACATCAGAATCCCTGTGATCTCAGCAGAGTTGCTGGGTAAAACTTCCATCAAGCCCCAAAGACAGGACAGTAGCACAACTAGAATAGTTGTATTGCGATGAACAAAAATCACTTGTAAGCCAGAGACCAGGGTCTCTACCCTAAATATCCTTGAAAATAGCCCAGCCACCTAATCAATCCTTATGGGGATCTGAGAAGTGTGGGTACATGTGACTAGGATGAAGCACAGACCCCCTGCCTCATCTGAGTTTTTTTCTAGGAAATTGTCAGCTGCTTTATAGATAATATCATGGTTAAGAACACAAGCCCTGGACCTAGACTGCCTTGGTTTGACTCTCAGCTTCAGCACTTAAGAGCTGGGTGGGTGGTGGTCTTGGGCAGGTTACTTAACCTCTGTGTGTCTGTTTCTTCATCTGAAATATGGGACAATATGCTACAATACCACCACCCACCCACTTGTAAAACTTATTTATGAGGATATAAGTTGACAACAACACACGCAAAATATTTTAAATAGTGCCTGGCACATAATGAGTGTTCAATAAAGTACAGCTGCTACAATTTTTATTATAAGGCTTTTTGAAAAAAAAAGTTCTAGAATAAAATGCAAAAAGTACTTGCAATGAAACAAGATGTGAAAAGTGCTTTTTATGATTTAACAAAGGATACAGCATTGTTAGTATACACTCAGCTTTTAGAAAACAATGAATAGAAAATATATACTAAAACGTGTCAATACTAATTGCCTCTGATTATTGGTAAGTTTCCTGTTTGTTTGTTTACTGTCTGTACTCTCTAAATTTCCTATAATGTGCACATATCATGTCTATAACAAGGACAAAGTTAAAATGCTACATTACTGCCCTCAGCTTCCTAAGGGCAGAGCAGGGCTAGGCTGTCCAGAGGCATAGGGATCCTCCCCTGCAGGGTTGGCAGGCATCTCAGGTGTTGTTTGCTGTCAAGTCTCATGCCATTTTCCAATGACAGCAACTCAGTTCCTTTTGGCAAGCTAAGACTCGATTAGAATTCTAAGGCTTCTTAAAAACCATGCTAAGTCCCTGCCTTCCAGGAAGGAGTTTCTGGAAAATTGTGCTTCACGTTTTGAGGGTAGGGAACCATTTGGTGATCCCATGAATGTCTCGGACCCGCTCCACACAAGAATGCAGCCCCTGACAGTTTCCCAGGCAATTTCAGGGGTCCCCTCCCTCCTCCCTCCCCAGGTAGAGAGAAGCCCATTCCAGAGCAGGGCCCAGGACCGCTCTTCCTCTCCAGCATGCCCTTCCCTAGCGTCCCGACTTGATACACTCCTGCTGTACGTGGTAGTTCCAATGTACAGCTCCCCCAGTCCAACCACGACGAGCTGCCGTGGGAAAAACATCGGCCTTGCGTCAGGAACCTGGATTTGAATCTAGCTTTGAGACACACTGCCACGGGACTCTGCACAAGCAATGAAGTTCCTCTGAGATTCAGCTTCGGCCAAAAAAAGGATAATATCAACCTCAGCAGGGAAGTGTGAGGATTAAACAAGATTAATAACGTAGATAGTCTTGATTTCATTCTGTTAACTCTGCCCACCCAGAGCTCATCACTTGTATCGTACTATTCGCCACGCATCGAACACCCCTGATGGGCCAGGCCTTGGTGGAGCACACAGGGGTGAGCAAGGCAGCCGGCTCTCACAGATCTAGGCATCTAGCGGGAGATGAGCAGGTCACAGTGACCTGGGATACCTGCTCTAACGGAGGAGCAGTGGGTGTTCTGGGACCACAGAGGAAGGAGCAGCAGCGGGTGTGGAAGAAGCTTCGCAGAGTAGATGGTGCTTAGCTGAGCCTGGGGGGGTCAGCGCCTGGGGGATGGACAGAGGCAGGGAAGGGTTCCAGGCAGCCCCGGACAGCATTTATTAGGACCTGGCACAAAGTCTGCTGGAAACGTATTTATTTGTTCCCCCACGCAACCATGCTAGAGGACAGGCACAAACATTCATCTTGGTAGCAAGAGCCTTGGCAGGTGGTAGGAACCCATCTGAGCCCTGTGCCTCCTTGTTGAAGGAATGCATGATACGTGAGTGGATATTAGGAGGGCCTGAGAGTTACCATAGGTGAGCAACAGCTTTAGAGGTACAGCTGTTTACATTCGATTCCAAGCATTCTGGGCCAAAGGGAAAGTTTCATGTTCCCGCGCTGCTGTAGAGCTGGGCTCAATGCTTTTGGTGAGCAATTTCAGCCTCCGCTGAGCTGACTCTCCTGGAGCTGGGTCCTCAGCATCCCGGCTGAATGTGCGTGCACTTCATTTCCCCCGCATCTGTACTCGAGGCTCTTCAAAACAACTGCCTGAAGGCCTCTCCTCAGACCTTCTGTTCATGTTTTCAGGTTTCACAAGGCCCCCTGACCCCGCCCCTAATGTAGCAGTGACCCCCGTGTCACCACCGACACTCGCATCGGGTGCATCCTGCCATGCACCCAATGCAGACATTTAAAACATTTTAAAGAATATTTAGTTTTGACAAAACGCTCATAATACAAAAAAAAAAGAGCAAAACTATATAAATAGCAAAATCGGTATGTGTATAAACACGCACATATATATGCACATGCGCACATAGACAGTTAACGTGGTTATCACTTGGGTGAAGGAATACCTGATGGTTTTACCTTATATTTGTGCTTTCCTGAAAATTTCCACACTGAACATTTTTTTCCCAAAGATCATAAAAACAGTATTTTTAGATCGTGGATTTCCAGACTGCACTTGCCTGGGAGAGCCCCTGGACACACCAAGGAACAAGGGGCGCGGGTGAGACCGCAGGCGCCTACACCTTCTTCTCCAGGATGGGAAGAGCCGGAGGATCTTCCCGGAGCAACTCGGCGCCCGCCCTCCCCCTCGGCCCATGCCTATTTTGCGTCTAACCAATCCCCGGGGTTCACAAGAGTTGCCATAGGGAGCTAGGTTCGCCGTCAACAGCTGGCACCGCCGCTGGCTACCGGCAACCACGGGGCGGTCGCGATGGGGTGGGCGTGTCTCGGGGTCCCCGCAGACGGCTTGCGGGGGCGAGAACCCTGGGCGGCCCGAAGCGCCGTGCCATCCGGGGGGTATCACGCCGGCCCCACGCCCCACTCGAGCGCTTCCCTGCAGGAAGCACGCCTCTCCCCACCCCCCGCGGCCGGCGCACCCCCAGCTCACCTGCGGGGATACGGTTGCGCGACGCCCGAACGCTGCGCCACCCCAGGCGCTGGGCTCCCCCGACGCCGTGCCCCGCCGCTCCTTAAACGGCAGCGCGCCTCCGCCCGCCGGTTCCCATTGGCCGTGCTCTCGGGCCCGGCCGTCTCCCATTGGTCGCTGCCCTTGGAGGGCGGGGCTGGGCGGTGAGCGGCGCCCGCCCTGCCCGCGGCGCCTGGCTGGGCAAAGCTAAGGGACAGGAATTCAAATGAGTTCTACTCCGCCTCTGACTCGCTGCCCTGTTCTTTCTCAAGAAGTTGTTTGCAGGAAATCCAGAGAGGTCTGTCTCCCCGGGGCACGGACCTCACTTGGGATTTCTTTTGATATGTATCTCTGTCCTCTGCATGATTCCTAAAAACCTGGAAGGCAGGCGGGTGTTTCTTCAGACCTCTCTGGTCTCCCCACCGGTCTCTACGCACAGCCCATCAGGAATGAAAAAGGCTGGTGGTAGTTTGTCTCTTTTCTCCTCGTTAGGCCACTTAGATTCTGAATACGCGCTGCAAACACCCCGAATTAGGGTAAAAGCACAGGACTCTTCAAGTTGACCCCATTCTCCAGGGGAACAAACCCAGTGTCACTCCAAGTCTGCAGACACAGAATGGGGTTTTGATTCACATTTGATTAAATTTTCAAAGAACTGGAACTGCATTTTGTGGTCTTCCGAGGAGTTCATTTCGGACTCTATATTTACATAGAAGCCTTAGTGGGGCAAAGTGACTGGAAGAAACGGCAAACTTAGTTTTAAGAAAGTTACTGATTTGAAATGTCTAACAATGCAACAACGTATAGCAATTCGAGGCCCCGAAACACCGTAGCTTGTTTTTGCATAAAATTACATTTAAAAATTCTTTGCTATTTTTTCATGTAAATCCCTTGATTTTTTATTTTCTCCTCGAAAATATTTTCATGGTGAAATCAATGAGTTTCCAAATAAAGAACAAAAACAAATTTTAGAAAAATATACTGGGGGGAATTCCCTGGCAGTCCAGTGGTTAGGACTCTGCACTTTCACTGCTGAGGGCCCCATTCGATCCCTGGTGATCCCTGGTTGGGGAACTAAGATCCCACAAGCCTTGTGGCGTGGCCAAAAAAAAAAAAAGAAAAGAAAGAAAAGAAGAGAAAGAAAAATGTACTGGGCAGGATTTTTTTTTTCTTTCTAATTTCCCGACTATGAGAAACACAAAGGCGCAAAGGAAACAGCAGCTTAAGAACAGCGAGCGCTCTTGTCTGCTGGGGAGAGCCCTGTTTATCAGTGTGTCAGCAGGGAAATACTGCAGTGAGGTCCAATATCGGTGTGCATTTGCAGCCGAGATAATTTGGCATTATAGTCATTATAAGAAATCAGAAGAAGAGGAGAGAAAAGATATACTGTGCTCCATTTTATCCTCTAAGTCTAGAAGGTTCTTTTAAGAACTCTTTTCAAAACATGTTCTTCTCTTGAGTTACCATCCTCCGACTGGATGCCAGAGCCATTGATGGCCTGTCTCAAGGAGCAAAAAGAAAGAGACAATGGAAACACTGGTGTCCTCTATTCAGCGATAATAACATACTAGGTATAGTGAAAACTCAGCTTTGTGGAACCCTTAGGGAGTCAGTCAAGTTGGACAATCAAGTTCTTTTTTTTTTTTTTACTATGTAATTAAATATTGATTATAAACCAGTATGCATACATACATAAGTAAAATTTTAAAAATAAAGGGCACATGTATGAACATACCGCCAGTTTAAGAAACAGAACATTCCCTTTACCTTTGTGACTCTCCTCTTTCCAATCCATCCTATCTGCCTTATTCATTCATTCATTCATTCAAATAGTTACTGAGTGCCAACATGAGCCAGGCACCATTCTAGGTTTCTGAGAATCATCAGTCAGCAAAACAAACAAGGATCCCTATCCCTGTGTCACATCCTGGTAGGGGATGACAGATAATAAACACATATAATAAGCAAATTATATAGTCTATTAAAAGATGTTAGGTGATAGGTGTTATTTTTAAAAAGAGCAGAGAAAAGGGATGGAGTATCTTGTGTATGTGGAGTGAGGAGATGACTTGCAACTGTAAATACAGTAATCAGGGTATGCCTCTTGGGAAGATGACATTTGAGTAAAAACTGAAGGAGATGAGGGAGCTGACCTGGAAGATCCCTGGGGAAGTGTTTCCCTTGCAAAAGCAGCGTCCAGTACAAAGTCCCTAAGGAATGAGCTTCCTGGCAGATGTGAGGAACAGCGAGGGGCCGGCGTGGCCAGAGCAGAGGAGCAAGAGAGGAGGTGAGAGCGAAAGAGACGGAGACCAGATCATATGAGACCTTGCACAAAGGCATCTGGCTTCAAGCGGGAGTGAAACAGAACCACTGAATGGTTTTGAGTGAGGACTGACATGATCTGACTTACTTTTTTAAAGGATCACTCCTGTTGCTATGACTACAAAGAACACGGTTGGAAGCAAGATTCTTACTGTAATAATAATCCAGGGGAGAACTTATGGGGGTCTCCAACTCAGGTCGTAGCAGCAGAGGTAGTGAGAAGTCGTTCAGATTCTGGATGTATTTTGAAGGTAGAGTCAACAGGAGTCCCTGAGAGATTCTACGTGCAATGTGAGAAAGAGAGGCGTCAGGATAACTCCAAGATGCTTGCCCTGAGTAACCGGAAGGACCATAGGTGGAGTAGGCTTGGTGGGGTGGCAAAGATCAGAAGTGGAGTTTTGGACATGCTGCGTTTGAGATATCAGACATCCAAGTGGAGACGCCGAATAGGCAGGTAGATATTCAAGTCTCGACTGGGCTGGGTATGTAAATCTGGGACTCATGGTCATAGAGATGGTGTTTAGAACCTGGAGACAGGATGGCCCTAGAAAAGAAATGTGTATAGAGGAGAAAAGGAGAGAGAACTGAGGAGTGAGCCATGGGAAATCCCAACACCAAATGTTTGGGGAGAAGAGGAAGAAGGAGCAAAGGAGGCAGAGAAGTGATCACTCAAGTAAGAGAAAAACCAACAGAATGCGGTGCTGAGAAAGCTTAAGGAGTGAGAAAGTGTGTTAGGCTAGATGAGGACTGAGAATTAACAACGGGATTTAGGTCATTGTCAAGATCACTGATGACCTAAAGGGACGTTGTGATGCAGTCATCGCGGGAGGGGGGCAAGCCTGATTAGAGTGGGTTTAGGAGCAAACATGAGGTGCAACATAGAATAGTTAGAATCGTTTTTTGGCCTCTGCATTTGTTTATCCCTCCACCTACACCACACTGTCTTCTTTTTGGGGGGGTGGGGGGTGCGTTGTGTCTTTGTTTCTGCCACACGGGCTTTCTCTAGTTGCGGCGAGCGGGGGCTACTCTTCCTTGCGGTGCACGGGCTTCTCATTGCAGTGGCTTCTCTTGTTGCGGAGCACAGGCTCTAGGTGAGCGGGCTTCAGTAGTTGTGGTGCACGTGGGATCTTCCCAGACCAGGGACTGAACCTGTGTCCCCTGAATTGGCAGGCGGATTCCTTTTTTTTTTTTTTTTTTAAACACCTTTATTGGAGTATAATTGCTTTACAATGGTGTGTTAGTTTCTGCTGTATAACAAAGCGAATCAGCTATACATATACATACATCCCCATATCCCCTCCCTCTTACGTCTCCCTCCCACCCTCCCTATCCCACCCCTCTAGGTAGTCACAAAGCACTGAGCTGATCTCCCTGTGCTATGCTGCTGCTTCCCACTAGCTAGCTATTTTACGTTTGGTAGTGTGTATATGTCCATGCCTCTCTCTCACTTCGTCTCAGCTTACTCTTCCCCCTCCCTGTGTCCTCAAGTCCATTCTCTACGTCTGCATCTTTATTCCTGTCCTGCCCCTAGGTTCTTCAGAACCCTTTTTTTTTTTTAGATTCCATATATATGTGTTCGCATATGGTATTTGTTTTTCTCTTTCTGACTTACTTCACTCTGTATGACAGACTCTAGGTCCATCCACCTCACTACAAATAACTCAATTTCGTTTCCTTTTATGGCTGAGTAATGTTCCATTGTACATATGTGCCACATCTTCTTTATCCATTCATCTGTCGATGGACACTTAGGTTGCTTCCATGTCCTGGCTATTGTAAATAGAGCTGCAATGAACATTGTGGTACATGACTCTTTTTGAATTATGGTTTTCTCAGGGTATATGCACAGTAGTGGGATTGCTGGGTCGTATGGTAGTTCTATTTTTAGTTTTTTTGAGGAACCTCCATACTGTTCTCCATAGTGGCTGTTATCAATTTACATTCCCATCAACAGTGCAAGAGGGTTCCCTTTTCTCCACACCTTCTCCAGCATTTATTCTTTGTAGATTTTTTGATGACGGCCATTCTGACCAGTGTGAGGTGATACCTCATTGTAGTTTTGATTTGCATTTCACTAATGATTAATGATGTTGAGCATCCTTTCATGTGTTTGTTGGCAATCTGTATGTCTTCTTTGAAGAAATATCTATTTAAGTCTTCTGCCCATTTTTGGATTGGGTTGTTTGTTTTTTTGATATTGAGCTTCATGAGCTGCTTGTAAATTTTGGCGATTAATCCTTTGTCAGTTGCTTCATTTGCAAATATTTTCTCCCATTCTGAGGGTTGTTTATGGTTTCCTTTGCTGCGCAAAAGCTTTTGAGTTTCATTAGGTCCCCTTTGTTTATTTTTGGTTTTATTTCCATTTCTCTAGGAGGGGGGTCAGAAAGGATCTTGCTGTGATTTTGTCATAGAGTGTTCTGGTAGGCAGATTCTTAACCACTGCGCCACCAGGGAAGCCCCCATCACACTGTCTTAATCATTAAAGCCTCTCAATTTTGTTCTTCAGGAAGGATTGTCTTTGGCACTTTGCTCTTCTATAGAAATTTTAACATCCATGAGTCAGGTTCCATAGAAGAAAGTTCTGGAATTTTTCTCGGCATTGCACTGAAACTCTAGCACAGAAAACAACTTGGCAAAGCGTGTTCCCATTTTTGTATTCTGGAATTAATCACGTAGAATGCAAAAAATTACGAAGGAGAGGTCACCGAGCAGCCAGTGACATTTGAGCTGACTTTTTTCTTGCTGTCTCCCTCACTTCCAATCCCTGGGGTAAAAGCCCACTTTCGAAACACAAGGAAACTTGGCCGCTTATTCCGTGGCTTCTCCACCCTGCAGCCAGAGTTAGTGTCCTGTCATCCAAAGGGCATCCTGCACCCCTGCTGCCTGCATGTTTCAGGGACCTCCCAGCTCTCTTATGATAAACCCCAAACTCTTTTTGTCATACAGGTGGCTCTAATGCTCGTCAGGCCCTCGGTAAAGCTCACCTATGAGATTTTCCCGGGAAGAACCCCTTCAGGGCTCTGATACAGTGCCACACTGCCATCTCGCCGTACTGGCTCCCTCACCCACAAGCACGGGAGAAGAGCAGGCGAAGGACGAGCAGCAGAGGGAGGCGGCCCCGACGCAAACGGGGCTCCTGGAGCTCGCGTCTCCCTGGAGCCTCCCGGCCACCTTTTGAAGGTGAAGCTGCAGTGAGTTTTGGAGGGAGTGCTTTCCAAGCCCGCGGACGTGTGGCTGTCCACTGAAACGGGACTGCGCTGAGCGATGGCGGTGACCGGCTGGACCCCTGCGCCAGGTCCTCTCGGCCGGGCTGCCCTGCATCCGGAGTAGCGCAGGTTTCCTGTTCAGCCCTCACTGGCCGCTGTTTCCTTCCAGCACCTGGTCGATCTTCTGCACCTTCTCCCTGGGCTCCGTGACGCTCATGATCTTCAAGTGTAGTGAGCGCGGCCTGGTCTCCCCACGTGTTTTCTTTTTCCCTGCCCCTGTTCTCGCTCCACGAGGTGTGAGTGCCTGCCATCGGCCTCTGCTTCAGGTTCCTTCTGACAAACCTGAAAGACGGCTGTTTCAGGACGAACTTGAACTTGAAGCTGGTGAAGAAGCCCCCTGCTGGTCCTTCGGAGGAAAGGCTGGGCTGGCTTATCCTTCGGAGGTTGCCCAGTGGATGGAGTTTCCTTTGGACACAGCCTGGGGCAAATTGGTTCTTTCTGTGGCTCTGCCACTACTTCTGATGTGTGGGTGGAAGAAGTGGCCAAAGGGACACACTTGGGAGTCTGTGCTGGGCTGGGGACACATCCCAGCTTCCCTCTGTGGGGCACAGCCCTGAGGCCTCGGTGAGCTGCACTGCTTGGATCCCCATGCAGGCGTGGATTTGTCAGGGAGACTGGGGTGTGGAGGGGTGCAGAGGCCGTGGAGCCCTTGACCTTGGCACAGTTAGGCCACCACTAAACCGTGAGCTTGAGAGGACAAGCTTGAGGGCCAGTGCCAGAATTCAGAGGATGGCAAAGGGCAAGTACAGAAAGCCCTTGGGATTTTGCTGAATGCTGTATAGGCAAATGAGCCAATCATGGAAAAGATCCAGACTTCAACGACAGATAGTAACTATTGAATAACAACTTTCAGGAGGATGCTTTGTTACCTGCAGACTGAAAAGGTCATTGATTTTGCAGCTCATCACTAAAGTTCTTCTAGTCACTGATTTTAAAATAACTGATTATTGTTTGTATAACAATTGTTATGTATGATATAGTAACCATCACACTGCGATGGTTAATTTTATGTGTCAACTTGACTGGCCCGATTAAACATTATTTCATTATTTCTTTGTGTGTCTCTGGGGGTGTTTCTGGATGTGATTAGCAGTTGAATCAGTGGACTCAGTAAAGTAGATTCCCCCTCCCCAATGCAGGTGGGCATCATCCTATCCACTGAGGGCCTGAATAGAACAAAAGTCAGAGGAAGGAGGAATTTCCCCCCTTGTTTCTTGCTTCCCTGATTGAGCTGGGACATCCCATCTCACCTTCTCCTGCCCTTGGACTGGGATTCACACCATCAGCTCCCCTGATTGTCAGGCCATTGGGTTTAAACTGGAACGACATCACCAGCTTTCCTGGGTTCCCAGCTGGCAGACAGCAGATTGTGGCACATCTCAGGCTCCATAATTCACGTCTGTTATCTCATACTGGTTCTGCTTCTCTGGAGAACTCTAATACACACACACAGAGCAAAGATTAGGATGCCACAGAGGGAAAGAAGAATCTGGTGCTCAATTCTCTTATATTCTTCTATTGACAAACTTTCTTGTTGCTAACTTTCTTTCATCAAAACATTGTGGCTAATGACATAACTTATCACCAAGTTTCTTAAATCATTCTTACATCATGGCAAGCATATAAATCTAACCACAGTCCAATTCTAGAATGAATATAAAAATAACGTTTTATATTCAAAGATCAAGTTGAGGTTCTACACGGTAAAATAATGGTAACAGCTACTATTAAAAAGTAAACTGATTAGAATAGGATACCAAATATGAGTTAAAGTGATAACTTGAAGACTATGCTTGGGAAATATGGGAAAAAATGTTATATGGAAAGAAAATGAGAACACAAAATTTAATCTATATTATTTAACAATGTACGTGCACATTTAAATGTGAAACAAATTATAAGGAAACACTGAAAGGAAATGTGTTTTGAAGTAATTGGGTCATGGGACAATTATTTTTCTTTTTGCTTTTTTGTTGCAATGTTTGTGTGATACAAACGGGAGAGAAATCACCTTTGAAATGTAGTCATTCATTTTAGCAAAATTTTTGTGGAAATTATATTGATTAGTCTTAAAATAGAACAGAAGCACTAAAATCATAGAGGCTCAATTTTTTTTTTTTTTTTTCGGTACGCGGCCCTCTCACTGTCGTGGCCTCTCCCGTTGCGGAGCACAGGCTCCGGACGCACAGGCTCAGCAGCCATGGCTCACGGGCCCAGCCGCTCTGCGGCATATGGGATCTTTCCGGACCGGGGAACGAACCCACGTACCCTGCATCGACAGGCGGACGCTCAACCACTGCGCCACCAGGGAAGCCCGAGGCTTAATTTTTATTAACCTAATTCCTAATTCAGATTGTCACTAGATTAATCAATTCCATTTACTAAGCAGTTTGTATGTGCCAGGCACTGTACTAAGCATTTTGAGTAGATTATTTCTTCTAATCCTCACAACAGGTACTATTTTTATCACTTCATAGACAGGGTTAATTAGTTTGCTTTAGGGTCATGTGACTAGTTAGTGATGAACTTAAGACCTCGACCTTAGCTGGTCTTGCTCCAGAGCCATGGGTGTAGTGGCTGCGAATTTTCATAGAGCAAATATAAGCAGAGAAGATGCTCAGGCTACAAGTCTGAAACCTTAGGGGTACAAAAACGTAGACATATTTTTTTCCCATTACTCTAGCATTTCAATCAGATACGTGTTTCTATTTGTCTTACAGCTTAAAAGCTAGATCTGAGAAGACTTTATTATTATTTGTTTAGATTTTAAAATACTTATCAGATTATTTTTAAAACATAAGATTCACAAATAGTTCATTCTTTTAAAATTATAACTACCTTCCACTTTGATTGAATAATTTCTCATCTTTTTATCCAAAAATTTCTACTGAGCTTTAAAACCTTATATTTGGTGGCATTACTTAAAATGTGATTTACGTTCATTATTTATCTTTGAAATGATACTTTATCATTTCTTAAATCAGCATGGGTTCATTGAATGTTTGAGAGGCACTCTGTAGGACTAAGTCATTAGCCTATAATTTTACAGTAGATGAAGTACTATGTTTTCATTACTTTGAAAAAAAAATAATGACTTTGCAGTAGACTCTTACATTTAACATTTTAATCTCAGCTTTGCCACCATTAAGTATAACTGTTTGCACTGACCACATAAGAAACCAAAAAATTACTGGGTCCAAGGTTAATCTAATTCAATTTAAATCTAACAAAGATAACCATAATTATCAATTTACCACAACAAAAGCCAGAGTTATTACTTTCAAAACTGTATCGATTTGGGAGTAATTAGCCTTAAAATTTAAAACATTATTCTGGGGGTGCTGAAGCTCTTTCAAGAGTTTAATAGTTTCAAGGGTTGAGTGATTTATGAAGTCTAAGCTATTACCTAACACAGGTAACACTGTGGTTGGACCTACTGTCTGAATCTTTATAAATAGACATTTTTTTCACTTGATCTGCCTTAGGATCTAGGGTCACAGCCTTTATCAGTGGTAGTATAAAGGCTAGTCCCCACCAAAAATTTTAAGTATTTTTTAAAATAAATTTATTTTATTTATTTTTATTTTTTGGCTGTGTTGGGTCTTCGTTGCTGCACGTGGGCTTTCTCTAATTGCAATGAGTGGGGACTACTCTTTGTTGCGGTGCGCGGGCTTCTCACTGCGGTAGCTTCTCTTGTTGCAGACTACGGGCCCTAGCCATGCAAGCTTCAGTAGTTGCAGCATGCGGGCTCAGTAGTTGTGGCTCGCGGGCTCTAGAGTGCAGGCTCAGTAGTTGTGGCACACGGGCTTAGTTGCTCCATGGCACGTGGGATATTCCCAGACCAGGGCTCGAACCCATGTCCCTTGCATTGGCAGGCAGATTCTTAACCACTGTGCCACAAAGGAAGCCAAAATTTTAAGTATTTATTAAAAAATCACAAGACACGAGTTTCTTGCCTTCCAATGCCCAAAACGCCCATCTTGTTTCTAATGAATAAGGCGACAGGCATGATAGAAACAGGGCAGAGATGAATCAGGACAGTCAGTGACATTTCAAGAACAGAGGAATTCTGTTGGGCAACGAGGTCGGGATGCCCAAAACTGTTTGTGATCTGAGACTAGTTTAGAACTGCATGTTTGCAACTCATCATGACGATTTCTCACTATTCATTTTATGAAACAAAAGCCTGTTGGTACACTCAAACTCGTAAATTCATTCTTTTTAATTTTTCTAATGGTGATTTAAAAAAAAAAATGCTCTTTACCCCGTCTAACCTGTAATACTCTGACCACACGCATAGCTTTCCGTTTTGTTTACGGCCAGTCGGGTACTATGTCGGTGATGAAAACTGAAAACACAGAAACTAGACCAAAGAATGGGAAACAAAACGAGCAGTGAAGAAGAGATTGAGAAAAGGAGGAAGATATTTAGAAGAGGAATAAAAGTGCTAAGTTAGACTGGAAAGGGAAAAGAAAGGGGGTAGGGAGGGAGGAAGCTCACTGGGTCAGAAGCAACCTAAGGTTTCGGTCTTGGTTCTCGACAAGGGTAAATCAACAGATTCAGACCCCTGACCTTGAAAGTGTTCTTCAGCTGACTTACAATTGCCCATGACTTCCCAGCGACTCCATTCGTAACCATTAAAGTCTCCATTGGCTGGAGTAGCCACAGCAGACATCTGGTGGAGTTTTCTGAACCGCTGTCGCAACTCAAGATAACCTTTATTCTCCTCTTTCCGGGGCTCAAGATCTCCTACATTGGTGCCTGTAAACACGTGGTTTCCTCAATCCACCTCCCCATCCCCCATTTATCTTGATTTCCACGGTGCCGGGGATTCGGCAGAGGCTCGGTGATGGGGGAACTGGGTCAGAATTTTGCGTCCCTTAGGCAAGCCAAAAGCAGAAAAGTGAGGGGCTCAGACTGCCAGGCACTGAAAGGTAGAAATTGGGTTAGAAGAGAGCGGCGTCAGGCGGCACCGCCAGGTTCCGGAGTCTAACCGCGGTACAATGCTCCGCAGACAGGGCAACCGGGAGAGCAGGTGGCCGGTTACCAGGCAACGTGAAGTCTCGCGAGACACACAATGCGCCTGCGCACTGCCGCTGGAGGGCCTTATTCAGAGCCTCCGACCCGCTCCTAAACTCAGGGTTTTTAGAGAAACCTTCCGTCGCTCTGTCGCGACGCCCTGGGCCGACTTTCCCGTTTGGAAATGGCCCGATGCAGAAGAATGAAACGTGTTCTCTGAGCCGTTCCTCCTCCCCTTCCCCCGCCCCACCGCGTCGGAAGGCGGGGCCCGGGAAGGCGTGGGCTCTGCGTACGCGCAGCGCGGCCCACGTGGAACCGGAGCAGGGACGACCGTGAGTGGGGGTCTGCGCTGGGGTCTGAGATCCGGAGGGGCCGCTGGTGGGGATCGAGCCTGGGACTGGGCCGGGTGCGCGCAAGGTCTCCCAGGCTCCCCGTCCCTGGGGCCGCCCCCGCCCGTACCGGCGTGTTTTCCTGCGTCCCGGCCTCGGCTCACGCTCCGCTCTCTGCCTGGAGTTGAGCGTCTGTCGGGTACGAGAAATAGGTAAAGCCCCACCCTGGCCCTTCTGTACTCCGCGGTCTAGAAGTGGAGGGGGACCAGAAAATGACTCCAGTCGCGTGTGTTAAGTAGTGCAGTAAGTAGGCACTCGATAGAGAGGTGGCAGGCCATAGGAAGAGAGTAACTCGGGGGTCGGCTACCAGATCCAGAAACTCGGAGTCCTCCCTGAGTCCTTCTGCTTTACCCCGAGTTCATCACTGAGTCGGGCGGATTGCACCTCTTAACTGTTTCAAGTAGCATGCATTTCCGTCCATCCCCTCTGCGGTGACTCTAGCTAAGGCCACCGTCACTTACCAGGACTACTCTGGAGCCTCTTTGCTGCTTCCGGTCGTGGCAAAGGACTCCTCCTGGGCCGAATCCCCAAAGATCTTTCTGTGCCGCCTTTCCAGCCACGCCACTCCTCTGCTTTGAACGTTACAACCGCTTCCCACTGTAGGGTTTGCAAGTGTATTCACCGTCTGGTCCTTCCTCGCCTTTCCCGCTCTCTCCGCTCTCTCTAGCATCTCTGCCCCGGCGACACTGACATCATTTCCTTTAATGCAGTTCCCTGGGCTGCTCTTCCGAATAGGTACTCCCTTTGGTGTCACATGTGGGTTAAAAGGGTCACTTCCTCCGGGAGGCCCTTCCTGACCCCCTCAACTGAGTCAGGCCTCTGCTCAGGATCCTGTAGGACCCTGACCTTAATGTGCATCACATCTTATATTTTACTTGTGGGTAAGTCTCCTACATAGATTCTAAGCCCAATGAGCTCAGTGGCTGTTTTTGCTTTAATTCATCATCTTTCTGGCTTGGTGCATTGTGGATAATCCACAAATACTTGTTCAAGTAAGAAAGGTGGTGGTAGGGCTGAGGGTGGGAATAGTTCCCCAGGCAGAGGGAATGTGCGTAAAGCCATGGAGGGGAGGAACTGGTGACCTCATTAAACAGTATGTGGTTCCATGGTGGGGTGTAAGGAGGTAGGCTGTTGGTGACATGGGGGCCCTTGGATGTCACTCCAGTGAGCGTGCACTTGACCTCATGGGCAGCAGCGGCCTCCAAAGGCACCTCAGCAAGGCCTTCCCCATTTTCTCCTCCAAAGCTGTTACTTGTTCCACTTCGGTTTTGGATTATGTCCCATGAGACTCTACTTATCTGAACCACTTGGCTCTTGTCTCCCTCGCCTAGATTCTGAAGACAGGAGGAGCTGATGCCCAGAGCAGCACGTGACTGTAAGTACTTACTGCCTGTTTGAATGCTGAGGCACATGAACTGCAGTTTGTGGTCTGGCAGAGCTCCGATAGAGCCTCATATTTGCTCCTTGGTCGTTTATTTCCCTTTTCCTGACCATCTTCAACCTGGTGCCAGCCTCTGCCAGTCACTTCCTTGGATTTGGATGAGCTGCCTCCTGCTTCGCACGGGGATGATGGGGATCGGGGGGGGGGGGCTGCACCGGAAGGAAGCAGCTTAGGGGGCAGACGCCGAGTCTCTAGCAGTGGGCAACGCTGACACGAACGAGGTCTGAGCTCACACCCCAGGGAGCTGAGTTTTGGTTTTCCGTAAGAAGGTGATGTAGGAGGAACGTCTGAGGCCGGTGGAGGTCAGGAGACCCTGTCTCAGGCCTTTCTACTGTGGAAAGGGCCCCTGTCCTACACCAATGGTGTCCAATTCCGGTTCTGTATCACATTAAGCTGGGCAGCCTTTTGACAAGTACAGGTGCCCTGCTGTATTCCCCAGGATTCCGATTCAGCAGACCTGGGGTACGGACCAACCATCTCTGTCTTTTGTAAAGTCACAGATTATTTTTTAGGTGCAGCCAGGATTGAAAGAGCATAAAATTTGGATTTGGGAAACCAGCTGTGACTCTGGCATGGTACTTAACCTGAGTCTGTTTCCTCCTCCACACACAGGGCCATCACGCAGGAATCGGGTGAGAACCAAGTAATTCTTGGAGAACGTGCCTTATGACACACTCCACGGGACACCCGCTCCTCAGCAGCAGCAGCCGGGCTCTTAGGAGGGTGTTTGACTGGAGGAGATTTCATTTTTTTTCATCCTGCCAGGGGTGCTTGGGGGAGCAGGGAGCAGGTGTGCGTGGGATGAATGACCTGGAATGAGAAAATCTGGTTACCTGAAAACAGGAACAGTTCCAAAACCAGACTTCTCCAGAGCTGGCTTGTTTAACTTCCTTCAATTCTGCACCTTGGGTCCCTGTGGTTCCCGGCTGAGCCCAGGAAGAAAACTGAGGGAAGAAAGAGGAATATGCAGTTGCCTCTGGGCAGGACAAACAGGACATGCTCCTCTGAACAGTGGTTTATAACATTTCCCCAGCAAGGATCCCTGTTACTATTTTGCCTTAATGGATTAATATCTTTAAATTTCATTACGATATTTCCCTAGATTTCATCACATTGTCAGCCAGAGGAACGGCCAGCTTGGACTTATCAGGGGAAGGGGGAATCTGTGTATCGTGTTTTAGGAAAGACAGACAAGAAACTTAGGGTCCAGGGAGGGAAGGAGACTTACCAAAGGGCACAGAATGAAAGTATCATTTGGATTTTTAGTCATGTGCATACATTATGGTCCCAGTTCTTAAAAACAACCACAGCTGGTTAATTATGAATGGCAGAGGCTTCCAGGGCCCTTAGAGACTGTGTGCTGAGGCAGGCGGACTTGGGGACTCACAGAGGTGGTGGTGGGAACTTGCTCAAGGCTGAAACCCGGTACCTGTGACTCAAGAGTTGGAGGTGCTCAGTGAATATTTGCTGAATGGATGGACGGAAGCCTAAGTAGAGGGCAATACAGAAAATGGTAACAAATCTATCAGACTAATACCAGAGGTCCTGAAGAGGATAAATAATTATGAACAAGTAGCAACATGGAACATTTTAAAGGAAATAAATAGATTTCAGTATGATCACAGTAACGCAAAACATTCATAAATTGCGTGTATATGAATGAAGACCGAATCACAGGAAAAAATGGGGAAAACTTAAGAGAAGTTAGATGTATGGTCACATACGTATATGTACGTGTATATATGTACGTGTATATATGTACGTGTATATATGTCGTATATAAGCAGGCTTGCTTTAGCCTTTCCAAAATCAGAAAGGGCACAGCCAAGATATCCTTAAGGCGTGCATGTCTAGTTAACACGTGTTTTCCTTTGTCGTTTTGCTCCTGTGAAGGGTCTTCAGAATGGCCGCAGCCCCCCAGGCACCAGGGAGGGGCTCTGTGCGGAAGACCAGACCTTTACCTGTGAAGACATCATTGAACAACCCGTATACCATCCGCTGGGGTGCCCTGGACAGGGAGGATATGCACTTCATACTACAGACCCTGGAGGACAGGATTAAATCTCTTGGGCTTCAGAAGACTGAGAACAGGAAGAGAAAGAGAAAGCAGCCCGCTTTGAAAACACAAAGCGGAGACACGTGCAGCATGGATGTGGACACTGGTGAGGGTCTGAAGGAGGAAAAGCCAGAAGGTGAGCCCCAGGCATCAGGGTGGACCCCTGCCGACGTCAGAAAGCAGCTTGCCATCGGCATCAACGAGGTCACCAGAGCCTTGGAGAGGAACGAGCTGCTCTTGGTCTTGGCGTGCAAGTCGGCCAAGCCGGCCATCGTCACGGCGCACCTGGTGCCGCTGAGCGCCAGCAGAGGTGTCCCTGCCTGCCAGGTGCCCCGGCTCAGTGAGAAGCTCGCACCCGCCATGGGCTTGACGTGCGTCCTGGCCTTGGGGTTCAAAAGAAACACCGCTGCCTTTGCGGAGGAAGTGAGGGCCATCATCCCCAGAGTCCCCCGTCTGGACGTGCCGTGGCTCCGAGACACACTTGAAGACCCCGGGGAGAACCCGGAGATGGAGTCTTTGGAAAGCCAAGACGAAGAGATTTTAGACACTTCCTTCGAAGACCTCCCTAAATCCAAGAGAAAGCTTGCTGAGGGTCAGCAGGCTGCAGTGTTACAACCCCTGAAAATAAAGAAACTGATTCCAAACCCCAATAAGATAAGGAAGCCACCCAAAAGTAAAAAAACGGCTTCAAAGTAACCTTGTATAAACCTGTCACTTCATACAGTTGTAAAACGCCACCTCGTAGAGAAGCCGCGAATAAAATGACTTTTACATATATTCTTGGGACACTGTTTAGTATCATTCCTTTCAAATGTGTAAGATTCTCTGACTGTAGAACACAGATAGGCTGAAGCTTAGGGACACTAAGTGCAGAGAATGTTCAGCAGTATGAGTATCAAAACAAAAGTTTATTGAAACTAATGTCCATGCTTGTATAAATTCCCTTTTTAAAAGGCTGGCACGATGCTTGTGAGCAAGGACATCTGTATCCTGCAACACTGGACATCTTTCTGTCCGAACTTGGCAAATAGGCCACACAGCCACGGTTCTAGTTGGCGGGGGAGATGAAGCTGGATGGCAGGTGCACCATCAGTTGTAAAGGAAAGATGGTAAATGCCAAGCAATACACTGTCCTCAGAAACAATACATTATTATTTTTTACTGTCAGTTTGCCTTTCTTTGTAGGCAGGCCTAAGCGTGGGCTTGGGAGAAAGGCTAAACATCTATCAAAATTGCCAGATAAGCTATTCTGACTAGGTAAGAATTCACTCCTTTACACGGTTAACTTACCTCCTTGGGACTTTAGCATGTATCCAAAGTATGATGGTAATTAGGTGAAATAAAGCAGGAAGAGAATAAAAAAATAAGTGGAGGAGCTTGGATGCTCAGAGGTGGGTCTGCCATGACCGGGGTCGCTCGTGTTAGTATATGGAACAGGACCGGTGCTCTATGTTAAAGCATCTGCTGTTTCCAGCATGTGTTTGGAAAAGGTGCTTTCTGTAATTTACGGGAAAGGTACTTGGCTTGCCAAGGTTTATTTTCAGCCTAAATTCTGGTTGATCTGTGGATTATGCCACCTCCGTTTAAATTTACTGAATGCCATCTTGACCAAAAAATGGTGGGGTGTGTGGGCAAGGGTACGTCATGGACCAGAGCATTTCCATTACTGACAAAGGACACGGGGTGGTGTGGGTTTTTTGAATCTGTAAGACACTGTGTATTGCACTGAAATTTAGTTCTAACGGCTACTTTATAAACACAAGCAGCTGTACTGATTTTCTACTTTAAAATGCTCATTGGTAACATGCGTAAATTATAAAGAGGCATTATAAAGCGGCAAATGTGCTAATAATTTATAAATTACTGTATTTAAAAATTACTGAGTAAAAGAACATGAACTCTATTAACTGCAATTATGTAAGTGAACAGAGGAACAATGCCACAGTTTTGTCATGGGGTGAGCCCGTGACACAATTTCTGAGGGACAATCCTGCAATTATTCGAAAACCTACTTCATGTTAAGATTGCCATAAAAATGAGTGGAACGTAATTCCCAACTGGAGCCTCGACTCTGGATTATGTTAAAAATCTTGTTTACTTAATTCTGGTGTTTCAGTGAATTGGTTCACTTTTGCTTCTGCAGGCATCCTCCTCACGTTAGGAAAAGAAAGGTAACGCAATTGGGTTTGAATCATCCTATAGGAGAAGTCTTCTCTCGCGTCTTCGAGAAGGAAAACTGTGGTGTCCTAAATTAAGGACGACTTCGGAGCCCACGCATGCCCCCTAGTGGAGGTCCCAGGGTGCCACAGCTGTGGGGTGGCCTTCAGGATGACGGGAAGCTGCAGAAAGAGGCTTTCTGATTTTTAGAGGAAATCAGAGGCAACAGAACTTTTTCCCTAAATGGCCAGGTTTAGGCCTTTGGGTCCACAGTCTCTGTCGGAACAACTGAACCCTGCCTGCCACGTACAGGCAACACATGAATGAATGAGGCCTTGTTCCCATAAAACTTTATTTATGGATGCTGAAATCTGAATTTCCTGTAATTTTTATGTCACAAAACTTTTTTTTTTTTCCTCCTCAACCATTCAAAAATGTAAACACCATTCTTAGCTCGTGGGCTGTACAAAAACAGGCGCTGTGCTGAGTTTAGCTCATGGGCCACAGTGTGCTAGCTCCTGCCTGTTTTTATAAGGTATGATTGTGTCCTTTGACTACTTGTAACATGAAGGAAGGGCATCCTGTTGTCGAAGGTAATTAGATTTTTCTGGACTGAACGGCCTAGGCACTGGTACATGAAGGCAGGAAGAAGTATCTACTTTGTGGTATTTGAGTTGAGGCCATTTTAGGTGGCCTTGTCCAGCATCTTTTTCCCCTTGGGCTATTGGTGATATATACATTATCTATGTACACCGAGAAACTTGGATTTTCAAATCCTAGATAAAAACACCATCAGTAACAAAACCACAAGACTTATTTACAATTAAGACATCTTCCTAGAGCACGACAGCTTTCATGATAAATTAGAGTCAGGATAAAGAAATATGTGCAATTCTGCATAAGTAATAAAAAACATTCAAATTATCAGTGTCCTGATGGCACTCATGAACGCCACTGGGCATGTCTTCTGACTTGAGGGCTTTGATTCTTCTTTTCCTCACGTATCCTGGCTGTTGCTGAGAAGAAGAGAGTCTCTGCAGGAGCAGAACAGTCTAGTTTGTCAGGGTTGTGTGCTCTTCAGAGAACACAATGTTTGCCCCAAACCTTGCTTTGGAACCAAGCCACGAACCTGCTGAAGATCAAAGTACCCATTTGTGTGTTTATTGATTTGGCAACTTTGCTTCTAGAGAAATAGTCAACCAGTACATTTTTATCTCACTCTTCACTTTAACACCTACCGCTCATCACTGCGTTACAGAAATGCTGGCTCCATAGGTGTCCCCGATGAGATCATGTGCAGTGACATAAGTAAACCCTTTCCAAATGGCTCCCTCATTCTGCTACATGGACCCACAGACCCTCACTTAATAAACAGAAAGGCAGCAGTTTATCTCCACACAATGGCAAAGATTTTCCTACACGATTCTGTGATTTCTGTTCAATCCATAGAAAAGCCGTCCATTTTTCTAGAGAGGGACAAATACCTTCTCTTCATTGAGAGACAGTCAGAAGGTTGAAAATTAGAGGAATGTGCTCTTTGTATCCTCCCTCCATCCCTCCTACAAATGGGTCAACAGCGAAAAAAAGGATGAATGTTAACATTCTAGCTAGAAATGTGTTCTATTGGTCACCAATCGATGTTTTTCCATCTTTTCTGTTACTGACACTTCGATGTCACTTAGGTTGTGCTTTTATTCTTTGGAATGGCAGTTCCAGGAATCATTAACTAGGATATTAACAAATGATGACATCAGAGTTCTAGAAATAGAAATATCCATCTACTGTAATACGAGTCCAACCTAAAGGGAGGGAAGAAACGGAATAGCAAAAACAAGTGAGCAAGAAAAATTATAATGTAGTACAATAGAGCTATATTTTTAAAAAGCTACTAAAGAAAAAACCTCTCAACAATCCGAAGAGAAGCAAATATGGGATTTTCTAGGTAAATTTATCAAGTTTACAAAGGTTTATCAACTTCACTTACCTTTTCGGACTCTGTCCCTGGACACCTCCAGTTGTACAAGTAATACTGTAAATTGCCATCGCCTATGCCAAACTTGAGTTTTTCCAAGAATGTCTTATTTTCCATCAAATCTAGTGCATTGAATACATCAAATCCTTTCTGTCAATGTAAAAAAAATTTAATTTTAAAGTTTCAAAGGATTAGAGTGTTTTGTATATTATGTATTTCAGTATAACATTTCATTCCCCTACTAATAGCTTGAAATGATAATGCATTTATAAGGTTTAATGTCTGCAATATATAGTATGGGTTAGGAATTCAGTTCAAAACTGTCTTATTAAACTAGCAAGCAGTGAATCTGATGGAGTTAGCAAGATTATCCAGAAATGCTGAATCGAAAAGTGCAGTCTGATGGCTGACAAAAAAGAATCTATTAAAATTTCAGGAAATATTTTGTCCCTGTTTTTTTTTTAAATTTATTTTATTTATTTTATTTTTGGCTGCGTTGGGTCTTCATTGCTGTGTGCAGGCTTTGCTCTAGTTGGGTCAAGTGGGGGCTACTCTTTTTTTTTTTTTTTTGTGGTGTGTGGGCCTCTCAGTGTTGTGGCCTCTCCCATTGCGGAGCACAGGCTCTGGACGCGCAGGCTCAGCGGCCATGGCTCACGGGCCCAGCCGCTCCGCGGCATGTGGGATCTTCCCGGACCCGGGCACGAACCCGTGTCCCCTGCATCGGCAGGCGGACTCTCAACCACTGCACCACCAGGGAAGCCCTTGTCCCTGTTTTTGAAGCAAACAGCTGCCTAGATGGCTCTATCACCAGAACTGTTAGTTACTGGCCTTTCTACGTTCTGACTTACCTGAACCTACGCCAAGAAATCAAAGCTGTAAAGACTTTAAATCGTGTATCTGTCTTGGGCTGATAATGGGAAATAAATTTAGTAACATTTCAATAGTAAAAACAGAATTTAAAAAAAAGCTTAGATAATACTATGCAAAATGTGATACAGATGAAGCACCTACATTTCTATTTCTCAGGGGTTTTACCTTAAATAACTTATTACTGGCCTTTTTGGGGAGGTAGTTGAAAATGAGCTACAAGATCAAAGAAGCAAAGAAGAATGCTGATTTGGGGATCCACTTATAATAGATTAAAAAAAATGTTTCCAATGATCAAATACTAGAAGACTACAAGGAAGACACTTTTGAAGGGTTGCTCCCAATTTCTCGTGAACAATATTTATCTTCTCACTCAGCAATTACATCAAAATGTCCCCATCAGCTGATTTCAATTTCTTTTTAAAGAAAAATGTTTATTTGTAGCAACAATTTAACAATTATCCTTACTACCACACTGAGGAAATAGAAAAATAATGCAAATACAGTAAGGAACATTTTGAATTTAATTCTTTTCATTTCAAATCCTTTTAATAATAATAATTCCAATAGTTAAAATTAAATTTCTTTAATTCTAAAATTCACAGACTATTTATTTGAATCAGAAAACCTACTGTTGCCAATTATTCACTGCAATACACTCATATTTTCCCCATACAGACAGACCTTGTTTTATTGAGTTTCACAGATTCTGGGTTTTTTACAAATTGAAGGTCTATGGCAACCTTGCATCGAGCAAGTCTATCAGAGTCGTTTTTCCAATAGCATTTGC